ATGATAAATTTGAAGAAGTTTTTGATTTAATATTAAGACCATTACTTGCTATAAATATTGGCTTTTGGTATCGTGTGAAAGATCAGAATCCAAATAACTATCCTTTAGAATTAAAATCATCTGAAAGATTATTAGAGATGATGAAGACGGTAAGAATTAATAATACATAGTATATTTAATATACATAATTTATATTTTTAATTTATTATGCCCACTTACTCCCACTCAGGTTTTCACTTACAATATAATTTTTAGGCTAAATATTTACCAGAACCATTAAATCATGTGGGAAAATTATTTCCACACATTACATCAAATGATATTGGTTACTTATTATTTGAATGTATTTGGAAATTTATTATGGAAAATAGGCAGCAATGTCCATATTCTGATGACGATTATGATGATAATGATAAATTGGATGGATTCAAAAATTATTGGAAAAGAATTAGAAAGTTGAAATTGACTGTACAGAAAAATATTATGATGATTCCTCAAGAAATTGCTAATTGGATGTGTAGTAATGTTGGTGATGACGATGATCAAGAATCAAAGTCAATACATGATGTTCATCTTCTCAAATCAATTAATAATAACTCCCACTTATTGTATAGTGATTAATTAATTAGTTAAAATAAATAGATAAATAATAAAGATCTTCTCCTTGTCCTTCTTTAGATACATTACTTTAGTTACAACAAGTACCACCGATTGTGATTCATAATCATTTAAAACATTTTCAACTGATTGATAAGAACTAATGGTTGTATAAAATATTATCCTTTGATGTTTTTTAATCTTCATTTTCATCGCCATCTTCTTCACCGCCAAATTTCTTTCCATTTTCATTTTCATTTTCATTTTCAATTTTTGGTCATCTTTATCATTGTTGTCAAAGTCGTGATTATCATCATCAATAATTTCATTATTGTAATTCCCATTATCATTACTACTATTGTAAATATTCTCAAAGTACCATTTCAAATCTTCAAGATTATCATTAAATATTATAACATCACCATTCTCCCTATTGTCATTATCGTTGTTGCGGCGACAATAATTTTTTAAATGTTCTCTATCATCACAAATGTTATACACGAATCCCCATCGCATCAACGACTCTTCGACGTTTTGTGCGAGCAAAAAATTATTTTTATCAAATATTACTAATGAAATTGATTTGAGTTCTTTGATAAGCCTTTGTTGTTCTAATTCATGCATTCTCAAATGTTGTAGGTCAAACGGTAGTGTTGTTGGTGATATATTGTCTATATAAATTTGTGAAACTGGCATTTCCAATAAGAATGAAAATCTACTACCTTTTCCTAAAATCGATTCAACATCTAACTTACTATTCATCATATCCAATAATCCTAAATATAATATTGTTAAAAA